TGAGGAGTTGCGCTGACAAACTGTTCATCCCTATATTCAAGGTATGGCCAAATGCCTAAGTTAAAAAGTGAGGAAATTCCTGGAAAAAATAATGGAATCGGAATTTCCTGGTAATATGCACATCTACACATTGTGTCCTAAATACCTGCAAAGTTTGACGAAATTCTGTGCAGCGGTTTATGAGGAGTTGCGCTGACAAACTGTTCATCTCTATATTCAAGGTATGGCCAAATGCCTAAGTTAAAAAGTGCGGAAATTCCCGGAAAAAATAATGGAATCGAAATTTCCTGGTAATATGCACATCTACACATTGTGTCCTAAATACCTGCAAAGTTTGACGAAATTCTGTGCAGCGGTTTATGAGGAGTTGTGCTGACAAAAAAAGAGGACTGACTGACGGACTGACTGACTGACGGACGGGTCAAAAACATTATACCTCCCGCAACTAGTTGCATGGGGTATAAAAATAATAATTTAAGTGAGATCACTAATGTCCAATACCTAACTTTTTTGTATATTTTGTAGTGAAATACATAATATTAAATCTGTAAATAAATTTTTGTTAAAAAGATGAACCTCTATCCAAAGGTCACGTACCTCTCTATAAAGGTCACTTTTGATGGATCCTGTAGGTGACTGCTTAATACAGGTTTGACTGTATATACTAACTAAAAGAATTTTCTCTATCTCAATGTAAAATCTTACACATTCAATTTTTGCATGCTTTTCTTCATAATTATATTATTTATAAATGAGAAGACTGTATACCTTATGGGTAAGGAAGCTGCCTTTTAAAAACAATTGGATATGTAAAAACTATTCAACTATCCGTAAGTTTACTGGCAACTGTGGTATTGAACGCAGATTATATGGTCGGTAGAGGACGTTGATTGAAAAATCATGAAAATCATCATGAAATCTGAAGACACCCTAGTAAGTGCTTGCGCATGCGTGCTTAGCGCTTAAAAATGGGTCAAACTCCAAGGCGAAGGTCAAAAGGTCAAAATTAAGTAAGGTCTTGCCACAACTGTTACACAGGTGAAGCATGAAAGCCCTTGCCTGAATCATTCCAAAGTTATTGTCAAGGTTGAAGTTTTTAAAAAGTAGGTCAAACTTCAAGGTCAAGGTCAAAGGGTCAAAGTTTTTTATACCCAATGAAAGGTCTTGCAACAACTACTACATATGTGAAGTATGAAAGCCCTTCCCGGTGCTTTTCAAAAGTTATGGCCAAGGTTAGAGTTTTTAAAATGGAAGGTCAAACTCCAAGGTCAAATCAAAGTTGTTGGTATGCATAAAAGGTCCTATCACATGGATTACATATGTGAAGTATGAAAGCCACAGCCAAGGTTAAAGTTTTTTTCATAAGTAAGGAATCTCCAAGGTCAAAAGGTCAAAATTATTGGTATCCAAAATAAGTTAGACTTGAATACAAAAAAACCAATAGATAAAACATTCTGGATTTATATAATTAAAATATGCATTGTCGCCTCTGTACATCAACTTCCATTTTACATGTATCACCACCCCTGCATACCACCACTGAAATGTGTACAACTGATTTCTGTACATGCTTAACACCAATAATCATAAGCTTAACTTGCCCACTGTCATCTGTAACCTGTTTCAGGTATACAGATTTTATAATTTTTCAATTTTCCATAATAACAATCCCAACACGCCGGGATAAGATACCACAATTACATGGGAATAAAAAGTTTGAAGATCGATTCATAATAACCTGCAGTGTACTAGAGAAACCAAAAAAAGTTTCTCAATCACAAAATTATGGCTCTGGCAAATGGGTGGAAAATAAGATGATTTCTACAGATTAAAACTATCAAAAATTAAAAATTTTTCAAAAAGTTTCCAATTTGTAAGGTTCAAAGGAATAAGGAAAGTTAGGGTTTATGTGACAGATTTTCAGAACAGTACAAAAACAGTTCAATCTCAGGGCATACAAAATGCAAAACTATAGTAAAGAGAGCTAAAAGAACCCTTTACTTCTAACTCAAGAATATCTCAATTTTGAAAATGTAGTAATATATAAATTGGAATGTTATGAGACAAAAATACTAGTTAACAAAAATTGTTTTTCGAGGTTTAACGAATTAGAATAGAAAAATCAATCTACAAACTCTTCGTATGTAATTCAGCACCAAAATAGAAAAGCAGTTTTTCCTTCTCATTTCATTTTTTGTAATTTTGGAAATCTTGGACACAATTTTAAAAAAATTACTTTCCTGAGAACTTTCATTTATTTAAATAGAAAACATTTTCCTTTTTTGAATTTTTTTTTCAAATTTGTCAATCACAATTTCTCTGCCGAAAAATAACCTCAGATGTATGTACAAAGGTGTCCAAGATAACCCCCTCTTTTCATCACATCGAACTCCAATTATCTTCAAACTTTATTAAATTCAATGATACAAGGATTGATCCAAAAAGTAATGTCACTGTGTCCATATCTTTTATATTTCGATTATAGTTTTTAATATTTTTCATTAATACACAACAAGATTGCCACTTTTCCTACGTATTAAGAATAAAATTCAAAATTTGTGAAAGGCCAAAGATGTTTCAATCAAACCCGTCCAAAAACCTTTAGATGAAATAAGATTTAATATATTTTGGTGTGAAATGCTATTGCAGTATATAAGTTGTGATATTACTAGAAAATTTGAGAAAATATTAACTTCAAATCTGTGTCTATGCACCTTTAATAATGTTTCATTAAATTTATTTTATAGATGTTTAAAACATAGGGGGTGTCGCTGCATCACAACTAAACAATCACGTTTTAAATTTAATTTAAATTATAGAATGAAAAAGAAAGTGAAAATGTAAACATGATCATGAATCTCAAATATTTTTTATGAAACAAAAAGGAAGCATTTAAATGTATGACAGCCCATATCCGCATCATATGAAGTTATTTAGGTGCTGCAATTGCCATGATCGCACGCTGTATAAAATACAATATTTTGAAAAGTATACATCATGTTAATTTTTAAAGTCTGATTTGTTGGGGTGAAATGATACGCCTCCTTCACGGTTCCAAACGTATCATATGATTTTGTCTCGGTAGGGTTATTTTTCGATACGATACAAATTGATAGAAGGAAACAATTTCAACTGTTGTTTTATGCTTCCTTTTACTTAATATAGTCATATAATTTACATTCAAAATGACTTGAAGAAATCAATTTAATTGATTTAACTGTTAAAAAATAATTCAAAAAACTATTACTCCACATAAATTTATGTTTTTGTACTAATTATACAGAGTAAAATGTTTATACCTTATGCCAAAGCCCATTATCCCGACCAAAAACATGCGTAATCAGAGATTATAGAGCTCACCTCAACGAATGTTGTCTTTAAGTAAGGCAAAGTCACATAATTACCCAACAAAGAGTGTACATCCAAAAGTGCAAAATTTATGCAATTTTGATCTGATACTTTGGCATAGACCTATACAAAAACTTCAAACTAGTTCTTCAATCTCTTTCACGGAAATGTAATTAAAATTCAGCATCTGAAGCAAGTTTGATAGTTTTCATCCCTTGATGCACCATTTGTAGAAGTTTGGCTTATATAAGCCTTATAGTTTCATGGTAACAGACCTTCAACCATAAGTTTTACCTGGTCCATTATCTGGAAAATGTATGTCGAATTCAGCATCCGAAGCAAATCCATTAGTGTGCATCCTAAGATGTATCATCCATGCAGGTTTGCACAACATAGGGTTCATAGCAACTTGGAAATGAAACCTGCATAAAAATTTTACCTCTTCACTCATCCAGAAAATGTAGGTCAGATTCAGCATCCGAAGCAAATCCATTAGTGTGCATCCTGAGATGTATCATCCATGCAGGTTTGCACAACATAGGGTTCATAGCAACTTGGAAATGAAACCTGCATAAAAATTTTACCTCTTCACTCATCCAGAAAATGTAGGTCAGATTCAGCATCCGAAGCAAATCCATTAGTGTGCATCCTGAGATGTATCATCCATGCAGGTTTGCACAACATAGGGTTCATAGCAACTTGGAAATGAAACCTGCATAAAAATTTTACCTCTTCACTCATCCAGAAAATGTAGGTCAGATTCAGCATCCGAAGCAAATCCATTAGTGTGCATCCTGAGATGTATCATCCATGCAGGTTTGCACAACATAGGGTTCATAGCAACTTGGAAATGAAACCTGCATAAAAATTTTACCTCTTCACTCATCCAGAAAATGTAGGTCAGATTCAGCATCCAAAGCCAGCCTGATAAAATGTATCCTTAGATGTATCATCCAGGTAAGTTTGGTCATCAAAGAGCTCATAGTAACTTGGAAATGAATCCTGCACCAAAAACTTTAACCTGTTCACTCATCAGGAAAATGTAAGTCAGCTTCAGCATCCAAAGCAAGTCTGGTAGTATGCATCCTAAGATGTATCATCCATGCAAGTTTAGTCATTATTGGGTTCATAGTAACTTGGAAATGAAACCTGCACCAAAAACTTTAACCTATTCACTCATCGGGAAAACGTAAGTCAGCTTCAGCATCCGAAGCAAGTCTGGTAGTATGCATCCTAAGACGTATCATCCATGCAAGTTTGGTCAACATAGGGCTTATAGTTCCTTGGAAATGAGACCTACACCCAAAACTGCACCAAAAATTTTAACTGGTCCAAAAATATTAACCTGGTCATTCCTTCCCTGAAATTGCTGCATCTGAAACTTTGACTGGTACAATGAAACACACTAGAAGCATCTTCCATGCATGTTTAATCAATATAGGACATAGAAGTACCTAAAAAGAAAACTGCTCCAAAAAACTTAACCTTTACCTGGGACGCCGACGCCGAGGGTATTACATAAGTTCCCCCAACTTTGTTGAGGAGAGCTAAAAATGAACTAAACAGAAAATAGTGATTTTGTGCCGTGTATCAAACAAAAAAAAAAATGTGGTGAATTGATACTGCGGTGAACCGTTTCACCCCACCGATTTGAAAAAATAAAACTTTCATATTTTTTTAATTTTGGTGTTTTATGTTGACTTTTATCAAACTTGTGACATTACTTTTGGATCAACCCTCGTATAAGCTATAATTTATTAAGGAGACCTTAAACTCTTTCTAGACATGAGTACAAATTGGATGAGGTCCATTTCACCACCCAGTGATGTTAATACATTGCATTTATCAATTAACTAACATTCACAAAGTTAAAATCAAGGAATTTTTTTTTAAATATTCCAGACCATAGGAATCATTTCAATTTTCCACTATCTCACTAAATTAACATACAATAAGTCTCATTTTCACCCTCACCTTTCCCCTTCACATACACAATAAATTCAAAGTAACTTCAAATCACTTAACAATACCAAACTATAAATAAAACATTCAAAATTTGCCTATAACTCCATTCTCTATCATCCATCTTCAGACACTTCTGGATATTTAGGTAAATCCACTATCGTGTACTTTTCTTGGGTTTTATATGAAGGGAACAGACCTGTTTTACCTGTCCTGTGGTTCATACCCTTAGAATACCCATCCCAATGATTTCCAGCTATGCCCACCATATCACCTGGTTCTAGATCTATTTCTTGGTCATTTTGTTTGACATGCTTTTCAACAGCCTCTACACTGTGTCCATTTTGGCCACCAAAATAGTAAATGTCATCCAGAGATTTAAAATTACTGGTGGCATCACCATGCATTGTCTGCATCATCTCGTAAGCCACACGACACACCTGAAATGTATCCAATTTTACAGCAATGTTTCAAATTTAAGTAAATTCATTGTGACCCACATATATCATTCATTCTACAAAAAAAGGATCAAGCATTAACTTCTGTAACATTACCTTAATTAAAATCATTTAATTTCTATAAAATAGTTGATTCAAACTGGATAAAAAATTTTGATAACTGCATCAATGGAATCTAGAGTTCACTTGCACTAAACAGACAGAACTACTTAGGCTGTCTTTACATGTACATTTCCTGCTTCCAGATTACTTTATGAATTAAAAGGAATAATTAAAAAGTTTACTTAAATAGATATTTTCCCTGAATTTCGAAACTTGTCCATTACGTTAGTGACTTATTTCCAACTTTTGTTTCTTTTTTAATTATCCCCCTTCGCTAAACAAATCAAATCGTTGTCTGCATGACAACAATACAGATATGGGAAAAAATGAAAAAAATCAGAATATTTATGTTAAATGTTTGTCTTTGAGACAACTGTTAAGAACAATAGAACTGTGAAGAAATGTTTTTATGCTACCAAAGCTGGGAAATGCCGTTAATGTGTTAATTCTTAGGAAACAAATGATCGAGAAAATTTAAACCACAACGCATGAATGAGGATGGAATTCTTTTAGCCTAATCTTAAACAGTGGACAACATCTTCTTTCAGATTTTACAGCATTGACAGGCTGTGATACGTATTTATTTGTTCGGTTTGAAATTCAGATGAAAAGATGCGCAAATGAAATTCAAAATTTCAACCTAGAACGAACTAGGATATTTTAAGTAGCTTTCCCTTTACATTTACGAACTTACAAGGGAAAATATACTCGTTGGGATATAGCAATATATAATAACACAACAAGTAAGTTTTTGGTGTTGAAGAACTTTTAATTATTGTATGAGAAGTTTGGTAATGACACAACATTTGAGGAAGTTGTTTTTTCGTTAGGCCTGTAAGTTAGCCATTTTGAATTTCAGCAACGTTAACGTTGTTGTGATATATTCATACGCACTGTTTTTGATGCGTAAATTTCATAGTAAAGTGAAAGAAAGTTTCATAATATTAATTTAAATCATAATTAAATGACAAAAAATGAATGTAATATTTTTTCCTTTGATTGACGTATCAAAGAAAAAATTTGAACGGAAAACGTTTTTATCAATGATGTTTTCTGTCCAAATTTTTTCTTTGACACGTCGATCAAAGGAAAAAATATTACATTCATTTCTTAAAGAAGTACAATACACTGGTGGGAGATAACTCTTGCGATTTCAATTGAACATTTGACGTGACGTCAAATTTAACAATAGTAATAAAGCGTCATAATGACGAATACTATGATCCCGATGTATCAATTATAAAAGAAAAATAGGATATGGGGCTTGATTGTGAATATTAGTACCATACTCAATCCATGATTATTTTTTTATTAACCCGATTCAACTCCGTAAAAAGTAAGACACAAAAGATCATCCCTTAATATGTATTTCATTTCATATACAATTGTGTTCTTGATCAAAGCACAGCATTTTTTTTCTGAAAATTTTATGTTAGCTTACATTGTTTAAATCATTGTTATGTACAATTAGCTACGTAACATTCTGATTAATGGTCTATATTATAATGTGTGCATTTACAACATATTGTTTTGTTCTTCTTTAATTTAAAAAAAAAACAACAATAAACAAACAAAAATTTTTTTTACAACATCAATGTCGTTCTCAGACCCTTACTGATTAAAGAGGAACAATTCTGAAAGTGTAGGATATGTTTGTTTTCCTCTCTTCATTCACTGTTTTCTGCATACACACAGAATATGATACATTTACAGCAAGACCTGATAAACTTGACTTTCCATCACTGTCAACATTGTCGGTTGTACAAAACGTACACATGTAGTATATCAATGTACGTGTGAATATAAATTAAAATAGGGCCACACCAATTTAATTTCTTGTTTGTCGGACATTTGATGAAAAACAAGAGGCCCATGGGCCACATCGCTCACCTGAGCACATGGGCTAGTTAAGAAACACAAATCAGCTTATTATTGAAAAGCTTACTTGTTGGGGGAGGGGGTTTGTTTTCTATTACTTACTTGAGAATGTCAATATATCAATAAAGCATACAAATGTCATGTATAATTTTGCCATTATACTTGAAAAAAGATTTTTAAAGATTTTTTCCCACATATTACTCTATCTCCCATTGTGACCCCTCCCCCCGACATTTTTGGAATAAATCTAAATTTTCACTCCTTGCAGATGCTTACATGTCAATTTGACAAAACTTTTCTGTTCTGGAGAAGATTTTTACCTATATATTCCTATGTAAAAATTTGATCAGCCATTGTGGCCCCGCCCTACCCCTGGGGGTCATGATTTGAACAAACTTGAATCTACACTACCTGAGGATGCTTCCACATGAGTTTCCTCTTTCCTGGCCCAATGGTTCTGGAGAAGAAGATTTTTAAAAGATTTTCCCTATATATTCCTATGTAAAACTTTGATGGGCCATTGTGGCCCCGCCCTACCCCCGGGGGTCATGATTTGAATAAAACTGAATCTACACTATCTGAGGATGCTTCCACATGAGTTTCCTCTTTCCCGGCCCAATGGTTCTGGAGAAAAAGATTTTTAAAAGATTTTCCCTATATATTCCTATGTAAAAATTTGATCGGCCATTGTGGCCCCGCCCTACCCCCGGGGGTCATGTTTTGAACAAACTTGAATCTACACTACCTGAGGATGCTTCCACGAGTTTTCTCTTTCCTGGCCCAATGGTTCTGGAGAAGAAGATTTTTAAAAGATTTTCCCTATAAATTCCTATGTAAAACTTTGATCGGCCATTGTGGTCCCGCCCTACCCCCGGGGGTCATGTTTTGAACAAACTTGAATCTACACTACCTGAGGATGCTTCCACATGAGTTTCATCTTTCCCGACCTAATGGTTCTGGAGAAGATTTTTTTAAGATACCATAATTTTTCATTAATTCATAATTATCTCCCCTTGGAAGAGGGCTTGGCCCTTCATTTGAACAAACTTGATTCCCCTTCACCCAAGGATGCTTTGTGGCAAGTTTAGTTAAAACTGGCCCAGTGGTTCTTGAGAAGAAGTCGAAAATGTGAAAAGTTTACAGACAGACAGACAGACAGACAGACAGACAGACAGCTAGACGGACAGACAGACTACAGACAAAATGTGATCAGAAAAGCTCACTTGAGCTTTCAGCTCAGGTGAGCTAAAAAGTAAGAGCGGTCAAGCGGTTAAATAATAATATTTTTACTTTTTGTAGACAATTTTTTTAGGCGGAGTGTGAAGAAATGTGAGGGACAATTATATTTTTTTCTGATTTGCAGGGTAAGCAGATGAAAAATACGATAAATAGAGCGGAAATGGAACAGAAAATAGCTAAGAATTTCTACGGTGCGGGAAATTTAAATTAATATTATTTGTCTAGATTCATTTAAATACGAGCGCGCGGGTCCGACGAACAAAAAAAAATTTTATTGGTGTGGCCTAGATGAGGAGTTTAATGTAAATATATTTATTAAAGTTAATGTGGACGAATATAGAATTTTCATTTTATTTTATCTTTAGAAGCAACAAAACTGAAAGAATGCATATCCTGAGGGATGTACATGCATATGTAATGATGTATCCTCACGGCCAAACACTGTGTTGTTTGAAATAATGACATGTAAGAAACTACATGTATTATTCCATTTATATCACAGGAGAGTTGAACATACACCATTGTGTTTTTAAGTAAATAGAATGAAAATTAAAGAAATAAAATAAAATTCAACATGTTCAATATATGTTGAATTCATATCCAGGCATCATGTGATATTGAATGCATATAAACACCAACATATATGGACTAAACACTTGGACATAAAATCCATAGTAAATTTTTCTTGATACATAAAAAACACGTACAGTTAATTCTCGTTATACCCCCACCTTTTGTAATTTAGAACCCCTGCGAAATGATATTCATGATTTTAAGAACCTTTATGAGTTGTTCATAATTCTTCATGAATGGTTCTTAAAGGATTCTTAACAGGTTCATAAAAGTAGTTCATGAATAAAATTCATGAAAACATTCATAATTCATAGTTCATGAACAAATGATGAACAAATATGAATATTGGTAATTTTCAGTTTAAAGAAAAAAACTTAGAAGTTCAAGGTAATGAATGTTCATGAATTTTCATGAAGACTAAAAATGTAAAAATAATTGTCACAAACGATCGCCAGAAAACACTCATTACTCCCATAATACAACTTTTGCATGCAGATGCAATTGTTGAACAAGCCCCTGATTTAATTAATAACATGCTTTTGTTTTGATTTTGAAAGTATGGGATCAGGGCCGAGTAGGGGAACATAAGATGTTAAAATCACTATTTTCTACTCTATGTAATTGATAACTTAGATTCTTCAGGATAATAAAACTCTGTTATGAACTGTCTAGAAGGGAGATTATAGTTAAATTATGATCGTAATTTAAAAAACACTGCATCAATATTGACAGCATTTTATTCTCATATTGAATTACTAATGTTTCTTCATCATTTAAATTGGCCAGCTATATTAAAATCATGCTTTAAATTATCTCATTTTTCACGACACAACTTTGTTCGACCGAATTTTCTCTGTTTGTCAAACTTTTAACAAGTTGTAAGAAAATGAAACAGACTTACAGTCTAGGAAAAATTCCATAATCTTCCTAAAAACGTATCATAAATTTATTGACAACTAAAAAATTATATCTCTTGTCCGTACTGTACCGTATCATTCTTGGGTCGAAAAGCTTTATATTTTGATGTTGTTATAAAGTCACATTTTTCTGTCCATCGTGTGTAAATGATACAGCACAGGCTGCATGGTTGTGAAGAAGCTATGACATGAACCACATTCGTATTTTGTAGTCTATTCTCCTATACACTTTCATAGCTCAGGGTACTCAGTTTGAGGGAGAGTGGTTCCAAG